CCCGGTCTTTGAGGTCGGGGGCTAATGAGAGGAAAGGGAGGGGGGTTTGCGAGGAGGACGAGGACGACGACGACGGGGATTGAGAGGCTGAGGAGAAGGAGGTCGACGAAGGGAGGAGGAGGGATCTGAGGAGTTTGTGGGGGGATGAAGAGGATGAGGGTTTTAGGAGATGGGGGAGCATGGCTTTTGTACGGTCGGGAGCATTTTTTTAAGGCATTTGAGGATTTGATAGCTGATGATGATTCCCTGCGACCGTATAATCTCTATTCCGCTGCTTCTTTCTTCGCTCCTGTTGCTTGTCGAGGGGATGGAAGACGGTGGAGAGACAGGAGGCCGCAGCCGAGAGGAAAATTTTCCCCCGCCGGACAAAAGTCAGATCGAATGGTTGGAGGCGGAAGTGACCTTGCTGCTCCTGAATGGGTTTAACCTAGTGCTCACTTGAGTTACGTTTAGGGCCTGTTTGGTTCACCAAGGACTAGGAATAGGATTAGGAATCCTATTTAATTTATGGATTCCAATCTAATCCATAAAAATTTTATAGACAAGTTTGAGATTTATGGAATCCCATTTTTTTGGTTTTTAATGTTTGTTTCACCCAAAGGATTAGTAATCCCACTTTTATAGAATTGTTCCAATTCCTAATACCAAGTTTGGTTCAATGAGTCAAATTTTTTTGGGATCGTCACTGTAGCAACGGAAATAACCCCCAAAAAACAGATTTTCAAGCATCAACCACTGTAGCAACGGCTATTTAAGCCCCCAATTGCTTATTTCCAGCAAAATAAACACTGTAGCAACGGTAATAAGCCCAGGAATCAGAAATTGCAAGCATCAAGCACTGTAGCAACGGTTGTTTATAGTAATCACTGTAGCAACGGCTAGTACAAGGGGTATGGTGTCTATAAATACACCTTGAGGCCTCACATATAATCCCATCTTTCTCATTTTTCAACCCAAGAAAAATTCCCAAGCTCTTCAATTTGCTGCAGGATGATATCAGAAGGGTGCCATGCTAATTATGAAGTTTATTGCGACTGCAATCTCCAAACACCGATGAAAGTGTGCAAGAATGGAAAAAATAAGGGTAGGTGTTATTGGGGGTGTGCAAAATTCCCAAATAAAGAATGCAATTTTTTCGAATGGGCTGAAGAAAGAGGAGAGTCATCAAGCACCCAAGGAAGCCAATATGTCAAAGAAAATAGGTACGGAGATAAATATATCTTGCAATCAAAGAAGCTGAAGAAAGAATTGAGACTTGTCGAAAATCAACTACTAGCTTGGAAAATTTCGGCAATTTTCTTAGCAATTTTGTGTGTTATTTTAATTATTACAAACTTCATGTCATGTACTTGTAATTACAAAAACTATTGAGGATGTAATGAAAACTGTTGTTTGACTTGGGTACAAATTCTAATTGATATTGTATGGCTCAGTAATAGATCAACTTGTCATCATTGATTGCCCCACCTATAACTTACATGTTTATTACAGATTGCATTATAAGGATGAATTGCCTCGCCTAGACATTGTCAATTCAATGTAGGCTGCAATGTCATCCCCTTTTGCCTCATCTGGATATAATAAACAATGTAAGTTAGATTGCATTCTCAGTAAACGCTGATCATCATCATTGCCAAATATCAAGTGCAAGGAGCTACACAAGCTGAAAACCAAACCGCAAATTAATCCACAGGCAAGGAAAACCAAAACAGCTCCCACAAAGCAGCAACCCCCATTACAGGATCTACACAAGCTCTGAACAAAACAGAAACAAACCCAGGGGTCAAGAGCTACACAAGCTCAGAACCAAAAAACAACAAACCCAGCAACATAAGGAGGTAGACAACCTACAACGAAAACAGCAACAAACCCAGGGGTCAAGAGCTACACAAGCTCAAAAGAAAAAAGTAACAAACCCAACAGCAAAGGAGGTAAACAACCTCTGTCAAAAACAGCAACAAACCCAAGTCACAGGAGACAAACAAGCTCAGCACAAAACAGGCACAAACCCACCCAGCAAGGAGCTACACAAGCTCTGAACAAAACTTATTCAAACCAAGGGTCAAGAGCTACACAAGCTCTGAACAAAACATAAACAAACCCAGGGGTCAAGAGCTACACAAGGAAAGGAGAAAAAAAGCAACAAACCCAACAGCAAGGAGGTAAACAACCTATGTCAAAAACAGCAACAAACCCAAGTCACAGGAGACAAACAAGCTCAGCACAAAACAGGCACAACCCCACCCAGCAAGGAGCTAAACAAGCTCTGAACAAAACAGAAACAAACCAAGGGTCAAGAGCTACACAAGCTCTGAACAAAACATAAACAAACCCCGGGGGCCAAGAGGTACACAAGCTCTGGACAAAACAGAAACAAACCCAGGGGTCAAGAGCTACACAAGCTCAGAAGAAAAAAGCAACAAACCCAACAGTAGCAGCAAAGGCAAGGAAAACCAGCAGCAGCAGCAAATGCTGCACAAAGCAACCAGCAGCAGCAACTGCTGCAGAAAGCTCAAAACAGGCACAAACTAGCAACCAGCAGCAGCAAATGCTGCACAAAGCAACCAGCAGCAGCAGCAAATGCTGCACAAAGCAACCAGCAACTCATGCTGCTGCAGAAAACTCAAAACAGGCACAAACCAGCAACCAGCAGCAGCATGAGTTGCAGAAAGCTCAAAACATGAGCTCACCCAAACTGCAGCATCAGCATGAGCTGCAGAAAGCTTACCTGATATCAAAATATAATCGGAAAATTCAAAGAAATCAATGATCATTCCACGACCTTACCTGCAACAAAGATTGCAAATATACCAATTCATCAATCCCACACCGACATAGATGTTCTTCAGAATGAAAATACAAATTGCAACATTAATAGTTTGCAATAAACACAACAATATCCAGAACGTAATATAATCGAAACCCAAGTAACTAGCTATCCGGCCAACCTTGGTCGTTAACTAATTTTGTGATGTACCTCTGTTGACCTTCCTTAGATTTAATGAAAAACCTCCTACCTTCACGTTCATTGTCATATAAATGGTCTAAAACCCTATCGAGGAACTCCTCGGAATATTCAGACCTATGTTCCTTCAACGCTGTGGCCAACTGCTCAGTCCAGTGTATAACGTGTTGATTCCTCATTGACTGAGACATGGACTCAACAAAGGCACACATCATTTCCTCTTCACGATTAAATTTTCTGGTTTTTTTGCTAGATGATGAAGTCGTGTTGTCTTTACTCTTAGTCTTATATCTAGTGGGTTGTGGTTGGTTAACAGCACCAGAACGTGGTGCGTTGCAAGCATCAGACTGTGGTTCAGCTTCACTCTCCTCTAGAATCTCGCAATCATCATCGGGAATAGGTATGGACCTACTAGACCCAATGTTAGCGTACACGGGTCTAACAAAATCACCCTTGGCTTGATCATCACCCATGATAACTTGTAAATTTTTGAAGTGAGGAAGGGGTTTGTTTATGTATGCTTTGTACTTAGAATTGGATTTGTCCTGCAATAATAAATACTTATAAATCCAGAGAATCAAATGTATTAAATTGAATGTGACAAGATAGATGCTGAATTGTTATACCTGGGCCCAAGATTTCAAGGTTTCCTCATCCAATGTAATCATTTTACTTGTTTCATCCCACCCAGCACCACTTATATCAAGGCAAGCTTTCATGTCATTGAATTTGTTCCGCAAACATTTCAAGTGGTTAATGACATGCAGGTGAGTGAAATCAGTCCTGAATTGCATGTTGATTTTCATGGCAGCCATTTTATAAGCTTCAGCCTTGAAGTTCTTGTCTGGCTTCATGCCATCCAATGCTAAATCTGCAAGATAAGGAATAAGCACATCATCGTGCTCTGGAAGCCAAAACTTATTAGCCACGCCTCTTGAGTTCAACCTGGTACACGGAACTTTTTTTTTGTGTGCTAATCTTTTCCCTCTTTTCAATGGCGAAGTGTGCTCCGCACCATCAACGTCATGAATATCCTTTCCAACTGAATCACCGGTGTTTGGTGAAAATTGATTAGGTCCACTACTTTGAGAACTGGCTGTGGGAAACATCAAACCTTGTGGACTGCCTAACATGCTCATGTATGACATTGGCGGCTGTGTCATCCCACCATAATTACCATCCCATGGTGGGAATGGTGAGAAAGTATGCGGAGGTGAGGTGAATGGCTGTGGTCGAACAGGCATGTAGTTCATGTTAATCCCTGATGTAGGACTTGGCATTGCATTCGAATGAGAAGGCACGCTTTGCTTATCTGCCGGATTGTTAGCCATACCTAATATATTTTGTAAGCATAGCCATATTAACAATAAAGAAATTTATAGAATATGGGATATGTATGCATTTAGCAGGGAATATAGTAAACGATGTAATTTCTAGTTCAAACAACATAACAAAATAGCAAGTGATAAAAGTAGTAATGGTTTGTTACAAATGGCTTAGAAACAATAAAAGATATCGATGCGAACAGTATGTTAAAATTCACCAAGTTATTACATAGCCATAGAACAGATGCTACACTAAGTTAAACCGCTCTCCATTGTGTTACCACCATTGTACTTTGCACAATAATCCACCCACATCGCCCAAGCAATTTGATCTCGTAACTCCTTCCATTCATTTCTAACATCTCGATCCTCTCTTTGTGTCCTACTTTGAGTATAGTCCATCACATTTGATTCGTCCTCATTTGTCTCTTCCCCAGTATCTTCATCAATTTCAACATTTTCATTTAAAATATCATCATCCGGATCCTCCAAGGCAATAAAGTTGTGCAACACAGTACACGCTAGTACAATGTCCACTTGAGTGGGAAATGGATAATTCGGCTTCCCCGCAAGAATTTTAAACCGATTCTTCAGTATCCCAAATGTGCACTCAATTTTTGATCTTAAAGATGAATGCCTTAAATTGAACAACTCCTTCCTATTCTTTGGTGTCCTACCGGTGTGCTCTTTTAAATGATATCGGACACCGCGATACGGGGATATGAAACCTGGCATTGTGGTGTATCCAGCGTCACATAGGTAATATTTACCTACATTAATTAAACAGTATTTTAAAATCTCAAATATTGCCAAGTATTTAATATATTATTCATAATATGCACAAGTGAGAATGAATACCATCGTAAACTCGGAGCCCGTTTTAAAATTATCATACAGTTACAGCTTAAGATGACTACTTATTGCTTGTCAAAATTAAGTAGATAATTGATACAAATATTTATTTCTTTTAAAGCAAGAAATCTAATTGCAATAATAAATTATTTTAACTAATGTTGCATTCCATCTCACACAATTCTAAACAAGCAAGATAGACCCAAAACAAACAAACTATATGGTTAGATTACTAATAATTTACACGCACACAAAAAAATTAAATAAAGTTAAAAAAAACAGCAATTTAAGTTCTTAAAATACTGATTTGAAACATATTATGAAATTAATCTCTACACAGATACCCGCATGAAATTAATCTACCTAACAACCTAATTCTTGCACATTTACAAAAAATCCACTACACAGATACCCGCATGAATTGTTTTGCTGTAATATTATGAAATTAATCGCTTAAATCATTGAAATTGCTATCAGCCTCTATTTCTCATATGCTTCAAAATTAAAATTAATTCCTCAAATTGAACGTGTCTCGTATCTTTTAATAAACCGTTTGCTTTCATTACTTCAACAAGTTTAAAAAATGCCCTCGGTCTCATTCTAATATAAGATTGGCAGCTATCTTGATAACCCTCCAATACACGTCTGAAATGAGCCTCTCTACAACTTATTTTCCTGACCCTTTCTTGCGGCGAACATTTTGGTATTCTCTTGCGCTTAGCACGCATTCTCAAAATACATGTTACCAAAGTGACCACGGCGCAGACAGCTGTATTAGCACACATCCTCTTCAATTCTTCCTCATCTTCCATATCCATCTACAACCGTTTTAATATTATCATACAGTTACAGCTTAAGATGGCTACTTATTTCTTGTAAAAATTAAGTAGATAATTGATACAAATATTTATTTCTTTTAAAGCAAGAAATCTAATTGCAATAATAAATTATTTTAACTAATGTTGCATTCCATCTCACACAATTCTAAACAAACAAGATAGACCCAAAACAAACAAACTATATGGTTAGATTACTAATAATTTACACACACACAAAAAAAGGAAATAAAAGAAAAAAAACAGCAATTTCAGTACAATGCAATGTTAACTAATTAAAAAACAGCAATTTAAGTTCTTAAAATACTGATTTGAAACATATTATGAAATTAATCTCGCCCAAATCGGATATCCGCATGAAATTAATGTACCTAACAACCTAATTCTTGCAAATTTACAAAAAATCCACTACACAGAGACCCGCATGAATTATTTTGCTGTAATATTATGAAATTAATCGAACAAATCATTAAAATTGCTGTGTGTGTGCCTCTATTTCTCATATGCTTCAAAATTAAATTTTATTTTTCAAATCACTGGAAAAAATGGACAAAGTAAAAGGGGGAAATTTTTATACCTTACTGCAGAGGGGAAAATGCCGACGGTCAAGCTCGTGGAAATCAAGAAGATCCCAACCCAAGTTGAAGAAGATCCCAACCAGAAGGGATCACCAAGAATCGAAGGCAAGAAAACCAGCAACAATCTCGTGGAAATCAAGAGCTAGGGTTTCGAGAAAGAGGCCCGACCCCAAGTATCATCGTAGACGAAGAAGCGCGGGAGCAGAGGCGCGAGGAAGAGGGCGATTGAGGCGGGAGCGGCAGAGCGATTCCAGATCTAGGGATCGAAAGCGTGAAGCCAGGAATCGGAATCGACGAGGAAGCTCAAGTGTCAGAAATCTCGCCCAAATCGGAAGCAAATGCTCGGATTTGGGTTTCTACAAAAAAGGACAACTGTAGCTACTGTGTAGAAGATGCAATCCCAAAAAATTTTGCTGAACCAAACTCCAGAATAGGATTCACAAAGAATCCATAATTTACGAAAATGCCACTGTCAGAACCCAATTCCTAATCCTATTCTATAAAAGCCTGAAACAAACAGGCCCTTAGGGTCTGTTTGTTTGCCTAAAAAAAGTCGGAAATCAGAGAAATGGAAAACTATTTCTAAGAAGAATTGTTTTGGGAGTGTTTGATCTGCTAAAAAAAAGAAATTAAAAAAATAAAGATGAGATGAGATGAGTTGTCACCTTATTATAGGATGATGTGAATGATTTTTTAAGAAAACTTGTTTTGATGTTGTTAGGTTGGCGAAAATAATAAGGAAATGAATTATAAGAAACATATTTCTTGTAATATGTTGTTTTCTTTTGTTTGGTTCATTCTTAAAAATAAGAAAATAGATGAGATGAGATGAGTTGTCATTATATTATTGGATGATGTGACTCACACTTAAGAAAATTGTTTTCCTAGCTTTTTGGGAGGAAATTGGTGAAAATGAAATGTTAATGAGATGAGATGAGTTGTCACCATCTTATTGGATGATGTGAGTGATTTGAAATGATGAGATGAGATGAGTTGAGTAATGTTGTAGATAAAAATAATATTTTATTAGATGTGGTGGATATGGTGAATAAGTTATTGGAAAATGATAGGGGCACACCCCCAACCACACCTCTAACCACACCCCCTCTGAGGTGTGGTTGGGGGTGTGCCCCTAGTGTCACCATAAGTTATTGGATGAAAATAATATTTTATTAGATGTGGTGGATGAGTTGTTGGATAAAAATAATATTTATTAGATATTGTGGGTGGGTTTTAGGGATGAAAATGAATAAAATTGTACTTTTTGAGTTTTCTTGATTTTCATTTCTATTTCTTGGTTTTTTCGGAAATAACCAAACAAGCCCTTAGGAAAAATTCCAAACCTAAAGTTTGAGCTTCACGAAGATTTGAAACATTAGAGAATGATAGTTTAGATATTTTAGCTAAAATACTCTAGGATTTGAAGGGCTAACATGCAATTACTAAAGATTTAAGGAATTAATATATGAAAATTCTTGAACTAAACTAATTAATCCAATCAAATCCTAACGGGGTTTCCGCCGGCCAAACCTAGTAGTCTTCATTTTATGTCTTAAATGACTACAGATGTCCATGAGCTTTCATTTTTCACTCCATGGGAAGCTATTGAATTCTAATAACATCCATTTCTTCAGCTGAAAAATCTTTTCATGATCAATATAAACTTTAGTTTTTTTAAATATTACATTATTATTGTAATCTATTCTAATTATTCTATCTTTTTTAAATGGTTAATTAAATAATTTATTCTATTCATAATGAGACTTAACATGTTATTGGATAAAGGAGAGACGTTTAATATGATTTTAATCCTTTAGACTTTGTAAAAAACATCCTCTAAGTTTTTTAAATGGCAAAAACATCCCTACAAATTTAAAATTTTATTAAAACATATTGAAAATTATAAAATTTACTTATTTCAATTTAGTGAGAACTCTAAAAAACATATGCTAGCTAGAAACTGAAAGTTTTTTGACTGTGGAGAAAATATCTTGTAAGTTTTGAAAATTACAAAAACACCCCTTAAAATTTAAAATTTGTAAAAAGACACATTGATAATTTCAAACTTATAAACACACTAAAAACCTACAAACAACACAAACAACCTTTGAAAATTTATGCAATTTATAATAAACACTCTAAACTTTTTACAAATTATAAAATAAAACCTTCAAAATTGTAAAATTTATAACAATCCTGATAATTTCCAAACTAACAGTACATTGAAAATATCCCCTCATAATTTATAATTTCCAAACTAACAGTACATTGAAAATATCCTCTCATAATTTATAATTTATAAAAACACCCTTAAAATCTAAAAAATTACAAACAAAAACTCAAAGTTTAAATTTTACAAAAAAAACCCTAAGAATTTCAAACTTATTAGTAAATTGAAAGCATATGAATTATAAATAGTCTATAAACAATTTACAATCTATAGAAAATTCCTATAAGTTTAAAAAAATTACAAAAGTCCCCTATAATTCATAGTTTTCAAAAAAACACCATGAGAATTTCTAATCTAAAAATACTAAAGTGAATATACAAAATTACTAATAACCCCTAGAAAAAGTAAAAATTTGTAAAAAATATCATACTCCCTTTAAAGTATAGGTTTACAAAAAACTTTTTATGGTCAATATCACTCATAACTCTTATGAAAAGAACATAACTAATTAAAAATATATTAAATTTGAAATTTATAAAAAAACACCCTTAAAGTTTAGTATATTACAAATTACCCCTCCAAAGTTTAAAAATTTTTAATAATTTTTTTTGTAATTCCTTGATTTCAGTTCCTATTTTTTGTTTGAGATTTATTCCATAGTTACGCTTATCAAATTAGTAAGTAAAATAATAATTATTTATGCTTAAATTAGGATGATTGTAATTGGTCACTCACTATAGAATTTTTATGAAAATATGTACCTTACTTTCTATAGTATCTGCACTACTCATGTATATTTTATAAATTAGTTGTTAATTTGACATATTAAATTATTTTTTCTTTGTAGAAATTTCTTCTTTGACTTTTGGATTGTGTAATCACTATATCACCATTCTAGCATAGGAATGATCTCACTCTAAATAGCTTCAAACCAATATTTGAGTTTAACTGAAATATATACTATTGTCGCTATTATGTGTATATAATTTTTAAGAAAATCATGTCAACACCTTTTAAACAGAAGAGAATATTCTAACCTCTGATATTATAAAAACTAAATATAGCCAATTGAGTGATTAGCAATAAATAATAAGATAAAGAGGAAAGTTAATTGTATTACCAACAGTACTACCAATAGCAAACTACAATGTAAAGTTAACATATATTGTGGAACCCAACTACTAGCTATAAGCATCGAGATTTTCATATATATACTTTATAATTTATTAAAAAGGGTCAAATAATCTTATATAATAAAATTAATTTAATATTGAATAGTAATATCGTTGTAATAATATCGTTATTATGGAAGATTCTTCATGAACCAGTATGTTCTTTACGATATATAAGCTATGCACTCCAAATTCTTATGTATTTTATAGAGCCAAAAAGTTTGAATATGAGCCTCTAACATTTTTCTCTCACAATAGCA